CTAGATAGATTATGTAGAGGAGAAACTCCAGAGATGTACTTTAAATTAACCAAAAATAAAAAATTCTTTCTTATCCTATTTGATCAGCTACATGGAATACAATGTAACTCAAAAATTATATCATCTGACAAAATGTGCCCCTGTATAACCAGTGCTAGGCATGTAGGATGCCTTCAAATATTTTTGTGGGTAGAATTGAAAGCACAAACTAAAATTACCTGAAGCATCTAAATCATCATATTTTCAATGACATTATTAATCTGCCTTCAGATGATGACTGTAATAAATAATTATTATAATAATTATAACTGAATGTAAGAGAACTGATTGCACACTCTTTGAGCCAAAGTCTTCCCCAATATTAAAGAATATGTAATCTGTATTGTACATTTTAAGTTCTCTGCTTTTTGCTCAAGGCTTTCTAAATTCTGACCAGTTCATAGCTAGAAATTTTGTGTGTGTGGTAAGACAATTTTCAGCCTCAAACTGCCAAAGTGAGGGATATGTTTCCCAACAAGATATTCTAAAGCTACTTGTAGCACACCTCTAGCATGATTCAGGGGATCAAATCCAAAGGGATTCTATTATGGGTACTTTACCAGTACAGCTGCTGTGATTTGTCATGCTGGATCTGAGAATCCGCTGTCCAGAAGTCCTAGTTCAGTAAGTAGAACCTTTCTCTACCTCCAAGCTCCTGCCCATGTCTACCTCTTTCCTCTGCATGAAGCCATTATAAATTATTTACTCGTTACAATGCCAATGGACCATGCTGTTTTACCAAAGTTCTCTCCATTCCTTTTAGTTCTTTTCTATTCCTTTCACAATTAAAGTGGCCTCTCTAATTAAGACCAAGCTTTCTATTTCTTTTAAATGCCAGTGGGAAACAAATATCAGTTCTTCCAACTTTTGTTTACAAATGCATTTCTTAGTAATAATTTCACAAACTCCCTTAGAAAAAAATTTAATCAATTTAATCTTAATTGTGTATATAAATAGTTTTAAACCTTATATTGAAATTGTTTTAATATACAGATGCTCCTTAACTAATAATGAGGTTATATCCTTACACACCGATTTTAAGTTGAAAGTAAGTTAAAAATGCATTTAATACACTTAACCTACCAAACATCCCAGACACATAATACCACAGAGTATCCCGTAGTTTAGCCTCACAACTATGTGGCTGCCCAGGGACTGTGGCTCGCTGCTGCCTCCCAGCATCCCCGGAGAGGAGCATCCATCTGCACATCACACTGCATGTCCAAGCTTTCCTGAATGTTTCAGCTTTCACACCATTCTAAAACACAAAACTCAAATTGAGCCACTGTGCATTGAGGACCATCTAAACATTTAAATATTTACATTGACATGAATTTCACTGTTCACATTCACTGAGTGTGGCACTATATTTAACTTTTTAAAAAGAATTTTGTCAAGAAAAACTGAATTCGTTAACAAATGAATTGTAAAATTACTATTATGTTAGCCTGGAGACTAAGTGTACAGAAAAAGATAAACTGTCATGACATCAGAATAAACAAGACACTTTTACAACGTAAGTGTCTGGAATTCTTCAAATTGTGCCTAACACCAGCAGGGTTATTTTGATAATTTTTAGGTGTGTCCCTTTCTAAACTGGGAGGTAGGTACCCTGCCACTTACAAGCATTATCTGTAACACACTGCAAATGTGAATAGTTTTTGCCTGAAATGCCAATATGGACATAATTTTCATGATTTACTCCATTCTATCCTAGTATTTATTATATTACTAGAGCAATACTGAGGTGATACAAAATATCTTTTATCAGGTGCATGCAAATTATGAAGCCATCAGTGACAAGGCAGACTTTCAGAATTCAGGTCTTTTTATCAACTTGGTGATGCAGTATCAGAATTCCTTATGCTTCTAATCTTTACTGAAACTCACATTTGAAAATACACGCTTAAAATTAAACCACTTTTAACTGTTTCACTGTCAAAGCTATCTTATTATTGATTTGCAGCTGAATAGCTATATCCAAACTGAATCACCAGCCTCTTCTCAGATGCCCACCAGCTGCTTGTGGTCACTTAACATGCAACTAAAGACTTGAAATTATTATTTTGAAGGGAAGGAACTAAATATTTAGAGTTTTTTTGAAAGAGAACTGTAAACAAATACTATTTCTGCCTTACAGTGTGAACTCCAAATGCCATTCTAACCAAATGAAGCTGGAAAAGGCTGAAGTGAGATACAATTTATGCCCTTAAAGAGAGAGGGATAAACAAGGTGGTGTGGGAAATGATAACTGGCAACTGGTGGGTCCAATGGTTATGGACCTGTGTAGGCACACCTGGAATGGCTTGCTAAGGGAGCTACAGAAGAAAGTCAAGCTGGACCTGCCCAGAATCCTTCCCTGTCCCACCGAGCCTGATGAAGATGTCATTCCTATTCTCCCTCACCCCAGGGCCGACCACAGGTGACAATAAACAGACTTTACAGGTTTATCATGTATCTTACTTCACGACTTGGTTATCTTAAGGCATAAATGTTACTGTCATTATATCTATAGTGCTTGTTGATACACAGGAGCTACAAAGTTCCTGAGGTGATGAAAATACTACTTCTGTGAGATAAGCTAATGTCTAAAGACAGGATTTTATGTCTATCTACACTGTGATATATTTAAACTGTGTACAAGTCAGTGTTTGAAATGCCAAAACCAAGTACTCCATAAAAGAATGGGCCCAGGAACCATGGGACATGAAGAGACAAACGGGATATCATCGGTGTCCAGAAACTGAGATTTACTAGGCCTTTTCTCTCCTCCTCTCCTCCTCCCCCACTCTCTCGCTTCTTGGTGCTGGGAACTGAACTCAAGCTTTGCACATGTGAGGCAAGTGCTCAGCCACTGAGGTACATCTCCAGCCCTCCTGAAATTTAAACCAGAAGTCTTCTGATCCACCAACATCTGATCTCAGTAGCTTACCTTTCAACCATTTCTGTTGAAGTTTCACAAAATACTTCCTTTGCATAAAGGGATCCATTCCTTTAAAACAAAATGACTGACCTAATTAAAAAATCAAATTTTCTAGAAATATTACAGACTTTTCCTCCTATATATGAAGACAAGTAAATTTAAATGGAGGGAATTAAGAATTTACAGTTTTAGATATTTTCATACTTACCATGGACTTCATTTTAGTTTTTCTCAATTGCCTTCTTTTAGCACTTTTTTAATGAGCAATATATAGCAAAGTACAGCTATTTATGATAATAAAATCGATCATTCCAATACATTGCAATGTCACTTCATATTTGCTACTACCCAGAAAAAAGCTTCAATGTACATCTAGATGGTCCCTGTCTTACAATAATTTGACTTATAGTTTTTAAATTTACAATTCTTCCACTGTACGCATTCTGTAAAAACCACACTTTCCATTTTTAATTGCGTTCTTTTCCCCAGTCCATGATCCCCAGCATGGTGCCCTTGCACTGTCAGGCATGGCAGTGAGCAGCGGCTCCCACTCAGCCACACGGTATCCGTGGAAAACAGCCAATACTCTAGAGCGCTGGGTTGCTAAGGTAGGATGTTTGGTGGGCTTGGTGTATTCACTTCATTTTTGATTTACTATAATTTGCAGTTACAAGAGTTTTATAGAGGTTGTCAATTGAGAAGCATTTGTATATTCTAAAATTTCTGCAAGCTGTTTAATTCAAAATCACCACTTAATTTCCTCCAGAAGATGAATTTTTTAAATGTCCTATTTTCAAATTAGAAAGGTTTCAGATTAACCATGGTGAGGCACTGCAGCTCCACAGGCAGTGAATCCTCCTATGAAGTGTGTAAGAAAAATGCGCCAACACATCTCGGTACAGTATTCTTTATTACAAACAATCATAATACAGTGGAAGTGTGCATTTCAAGGATGAATGAAGCCAAGGTTATTATCATCAAAAGCATTACTTCACTCAAATAGTTTCTCCTTTTTGTGTATTTTACATTCATTTGAATTTATCTTTAACATATGGCAGGGTCACCTAACCTCGTACAGTTCAGCCGTTAAATCACAATAGGGAAGACAATTTGGAATGCATGTTATATCTTACTTGCTTATTGAATACACCTACCAAGTATCTGAGACGCATTCAAAGTTAAGCAGGAGCTTCAGGCGCAGGTGATATTTATGAAACATTTTTGTTACTGATGTTTTGCTGTTGGCATGGGATAGCCACAACCTTAGAAAACAATAAAAAGGGGATTCTAAAGGCTAGGTAACTGGCTAACTTTTCCTGATGTATACTGAGTATAAAAACAAAATAAAACAAAACAAAACATAAAAGTAGGTTTTAAAAAGTGACATCTTTTTGGTTGTAAAGCACTAGCAGCTATGAACACGTCATCTAACTAAAACAAAATTTTCACATCTCATTTTTTTAATACTCAAAAAGAAATACTGGCTTGAACAACATGAACAATGTTCTGGGTCTTGTGAGGGGGCCAAACAGTAGCTGCTCTCTGTCCCATGGTTCCCATCACGGCAACCTGAGACACATGAGCGGTGCTGATGCATTTCATGGCCCGCCGTGTCTGCTTTGCTTGTCATGCTGTGGAAGGATGCTATTCAAGATTTTGGCTTGCTACAGCATGGAATGAATGCTAAGTGACTACACTTCAAAATCTGGAATCAAATACTACATTACAATCTTTGAGAATTGTTAGCAGCAAAAGAAAAAAAAGCTGGTTGAGATGTGTCCGTACGAGGTGGAGGGAAAGTTCAGTGGCAGACCACTCACCTAGCATGTGTGAACCCTTAGGTTCAGTGCCCAATACTGGGAGAAAAGAATGGGTATTTACAATGACCCGGGGAGACACTTCGAAAGTCTCCAAATTTCACAGGCATCCTAGAAAGGGGTTTGGGTGGGGCATGACTGGTGATAATGACACGCGCCATTTCATAATTTATTTTTCACAGAAGTAACTCAGGCACAATGCATGATTTTCTCATGGTTTTATAGCTGCATTGAAATCCATGTGTTTTTTAAAACTGTCACTGTTGTTTTACATGTCATTTATAAACCACTACTTCTGACTGATTCTATAAAGGTATGAGATTCCCAGAGGATGAGTTTGACAGCTTATGGAGAGGATCAACAGGCTGCTTTTGTTTTCTGTTGTAAAAGCTATGTGTATTTGAAACTCCCATGCAATGGTACTCATACGAGACTCACCATATTAATGACTTTTCCAAGAAAAGCAGAGATGGGAATTATTAGAAAACAAGGAAGCAAATATGGGGCGGGGGGGACAAATTCTGAAACACGGAAGAAAAGTAGCATTTACCTAAGGAATCCATTACCTGGTTTCTCAGAATAGAAGGGAAATAAAACTTAAAAACAGAGATGCTTAAAAGTCATTGACATTTTTGCAAGCAAAAGAAAGTTCACATACATTGTTTTCAAAGTTGCAAAGCATGGAGATGTCTACAAAACCGGGTTCCCTGTTCGACTCTACTCCATGATGCTGCGACCGTCTCATTTCCTTTCGATTCCACAGTACCTAACATTGTACCTTGACAATACATAGCTGATGAACCAGTAAACTATGTGTTTTTCTAAACACTAAGTGGGCTGCCTAGTTTCAATGTAAAAAGTAAGAAGTACTCTCGATTATATATAAGAAAGTTTCTATTACAGAACACTAGTCCTTACAAGAGGTGACAGTAGTAGCTCACTCATTTATCTTTTTCATATGATCCTTTCTAACTTGAATATAGTTTGAGGAGAAAAAACTACATGTGCACTAATGCTAGACAGAATATATAAATGAAGAAGCCTCACTGATGACTGAAATAGTTTGTTAGAAGCGTAACTTCTATCTCAAATTACACATTTTTAAGAGACTGTGACCTATCTTTTCAAGCAATGTAGGGTTTAGTGGGTGGCAAACACCTAGAAATTTCTGGGATTTCCCTTTATCATCCACAAAAAAAAAAAGAACAACTTTTTAATAGTGTACACATTTTTTAACGATGCCCTGTTATTCAGTACCACTTTTTCTCCCAAATTATAGGGAGCATGAAATTATTATTACTTGACTTCAGGAGTTATTTCCATGTTGGAGACTTTAGCTTTAAAGCAAGCTACCAGATTGAACCAGTGGATGATTTAACCAATACAGACACTAAGTTAATTAATTCATACATTTGATCCAACCATGTGTCTAGATTTTCCCAAAGGCTTTGTTGCTGTTTTAATAATCTGTAAGAAGTTGATATTTGCCAACAGGCAAGAAAATGTGGCACAGGGGGTGCCCTGACGGGAGCCTGAATGCAGGAGTGTGAGAAGGTGCGAGTGAGTGTGCGGTGCTCGGCCAACCCTTTTACCCCTCCACTTCTTCCCCGCACGGACTCACAGCGAGCGTTCGCGCACTCTGCATAGACTCAGCCGTCTGCAGGGCTGCCCAACAAGACGACCAAGAGGAACAGCACCGGGTTTCCAATGTGGAAAGCAGGCGCCTCCTCGGGGATTATTAGACTAAATTCTGCACTGAACTTATCATTTGGGCTGTTGGCTCATTTCATTCTACTTTTGTAATTATTTTCCCTTACAAGACTCACTTTTGCATTGGTAAATTGAGGCATCGTGACTCTTCACAGTTTGTTTTCCAATCACAGTTTAGATTTGTTTTAAATGTACCATTGATAATAGCAAAGTAGTTCAACCACAGTGTATGCATTTCAAATTCAGAAGTGAAGTTTCTGTGGTTTATCTCACATAATTCATTGGAGAAGCTTAATTCCACCCCACCCAACCCTCACCATTAGCACTAAAAGTGACACCATTTAAACCGTACAGATTGGCTGCTTTGTGTGTGAAAGTACGATTTGCTCTAGTGCCACTAATACCTGCGCTTTGCAATATGAACAGTTTCTGCATTTCTGCCTGGCCACACATGCTGGATATGACATGCAAACTTGAGCGCCTTCCACTTCACCTACCATTTACACTTTTGCCTTTCATCCATTTCCTCCCACAAAAGAAGAGGCTTACTATGGCAGAGGCTTGAAAATCCTGCCTTTCCAATCACTCTGTACTGGCCCCAGGTTAACTAGGTAGCATAAAACAAACGGTGATAAAAAATATGAACTGTATCCATTATACGTATTTACACAGGTATTTAGAAACCTCAACTAGTTGCAAATCTGAAAGGATATAAGCGACCGCTTGTGACAGCATCTATCCTATGGAAATGAAGCTCAAGACACAAATGTTAAGACACTGAAGAAATGGGGTTGTGTGGAGAGCCCATCTGGGTCAGGACTTTGTCCAACCACTGCAGGGGTCCGTGAAGGTGAATCTCAATCCAGCACGGGGTGCTCGTGACATCCTGGCGATGGTATTCAGCTCCCCAGCCCTGAAAAGCAAGAATGGAACCCAGAGTGACTGTGCCGCTTTATGGTCCAGATCCACCAGACGGAGCAGGGGGACACAGAGCCCACACACCCAGGCAGCTCCTCAAACCTGAGTGGGAGAGAGCACAGATTCCACCCTCCTCCTAGTACAGGTGCCTTCTGCACCAGCCAGCTGCCTCAGAGGAATCCGGATCAGTGCACCCTCTGGGCTCGCAGGCAGGTACCCGGTACCAATCCAAGGATGGCTGGGCTCTGGACATCACACGGGACATACTGATGTCACTTCCCCTTCCACCAGGAGAGATCCTCAACCTTATGTTCATTCACCCCCTTCATGATGAAGACAGCATCCTGCCCGAAGTGGCTTCTTGTGACAGACCAGGGACTGGAGCTGAAAGCTGCGACGAGAGACCTGGAGGACACTTGCAATTTCCTGGGTGGATTAGCAAACCTTATTTCTCTTCTCTTTACACAATTTTCCACTTATCACTATCCATAGGAGACAGACAGTAAATAAAATGAGTTTGCATATTTATCTCTATGTGATGCATTAGTGGGAAATTACTTGGAAATGAAGGGAGATCACATCTAAACAAATTAGTTTTGCTACCAGGAACAGTAATTCTTGGCAGAGGTGTTTAAAATTGGATTTCATAAATCAGTCTCACATGTGTAAACATCGCACTGTCTCCCTCGTGTAAGAAGCTGAGAGAGGAAATAAGACTGAAAATGTACAACAGATACCATGCAAGGGAAACTGCTCAAAAGGAAAGAAAAACTCGAATGAGAGAAAGGAGAAAAGAAGGAAGGGAAAAGGAAAAAATATATATATACACACACACAAGATAGTGAAGATAGTTATACTACTAATTGCTATTAGCTCACTGAAAGGAAAGGTATATGCCTATATTGCTTAATCAATTTTTCATGCTTATATCTAGTAATCTGAGCAACTACTTGGAGGATAACAATAGGCAATATACTAACCATTGTTACTCTCCTACAATCTTGTTTTGAAATTTTATACCATTGTTTTTATTGTTTATTTTTCTTTTCTTTAAAATAAAAAGAAGTTTCAGCAGAACTGTGCTGCCTGGTCACACTTTCCTTCCATGGCATGATCCTTAAGGTCCCTCCAGCGCCACCTGGCAGCCTCACCACAATCCTCTGGCCTCACTTCCCTTCTTGCTGATGGCTTCACTCCTCCTCCTCCCCTCAAAAGTCTCCAACACCTACTCCCCATACACTGGCAATGGACGATCTTTCTTTTCATAAGAAAAACGGAGCTATTAGAGAGTACAATTTCCATGGCACCTGCACCCACATACTCAGCCATTCTACCTTTTGCCATAAATTATCTGTGCTTCCAGATAAGCAGATCCATTCATCAAATACATCATTAGACTCACGAATCCATTTACACATTATTAAACTTAGTCTTACTGTTGTTTCATTGGTTGGCTTTTCACCGTTCTCTTTGCGGGCTACTTCTCTGCTCCCTCAACTTTAATGTCAAAGTGTCCTGGACCCAGTCCTAGATGCCCTCCCCCTCTTTGAAACCCAAATCAAAGTCATCCAGGACACGGAGTTAAATTTCACCCATATACAGTGAAACCCAGTTTACACAGCCAATAGCAACCTTTCTCCCCCAACACTCATCTAACTACACTCCGCACCTCCCTAGGAATGTGTGACAAATATCTCAAAGCTCCTGAACTCAGTTCTGTCTCCAATCCTGACCACTCATATCTCCATCATGGTTGAAGGCACGTAATTCTATTTTTCTAAACCTCTCTCCCTTGAATCTGAATCCAATCTGCCTTCACACCTGGGAGTGCTTCTACTTCTTACAACTTCCTGTGGCGCTGTCCTGGTGGGGAGGCCATCACCTCCCACTTGAACAACGCAGCCCAACCGCCTCCTCACCGTCCTCGCTGCTTCTCACCTTACCTGCACCGTGCCTACTCTGCACACACAGGCCAGAGTGGTCCTCTCCAAGCATAGCTCACGCCATGAAACGCATCTGCCGAAACCCCTGCGCAGCCCTACCACCTCTTTTCAGTAAGCTCCTAGGACAATTCTCATCCCATCTCATCGCCGCGTTGGGCTACAGTCACAAAGTCTGCTTCTCTCCAAATTTCCAGCACGCTCTCGCCCTGACATTGAGTGCTTGCTCCCTTCCCCGAGCCTGTAGTGCTCTTACCCCGGAGGCCCACAGCGAACACTCACCCTCAGATCTCTGCTGATCCGTCTCCTACTCCACAAGGTCTTCTCTGGCTTGCAGCCCTCCCTTGCCCAGCCCCCCAAATTCCCTTTACCTGAATCTACATTTTTTCATTTCTTGTAGAAAGAGAAAGAGATAAAGGTAATTATCCAATGGATCTCAATGCCTACAAATAGTGCCTGGCCTGACAGACGGCCAGTGCTCAAGAAATATTTGTTGACTAAACAGAGTGCTAGGATCAGTAAAAACCAGAGCTGGAGGAGACCTTACCCAAGGTCTAGTCCATCACTCCCACCAGTATTTGGTCTATATTTATATTTGTTAAGTATTTTTTAAGTCTCTGTGATACCAGCTAAGTGTTTACTTTCTGTGAATTGTGTACCTTCATAAATTTAAATGTTGAATATCTGAGAAATACATTTAGATGATCAGATTTATACGTAAGCTTTCATCTCAGTGAAATAATTACCTACGAGATGTTGGCATTTCTTTTTCATTTATAAACACAGATCTGGAGAAATTAATTGTAGGATTCAAACAATTATTCATTAAGAGCAACTGAATACCCTCTGCTGGCTCTAAAGCATATGAAAAAATTTCTGGGTGTTTGCTAATTGCCTTACAGGTTAAAATGCTATTAAAATGGTGAGTTTAAATAAAACTACTTTGTTATCAGGAAAGAAAAATGGTTTCAAGAAGCCAGCATAGCCAGGCTTGGTGGTGCATGCCTGTAATTCCAACAGTTGAGAGGCTGAGGCAGGAGGATCACCATGAGTTTGAGGCCAACTTTGCTTTGAACATAATGAGTTCAAGGCCAGCCTGAACTACAAAGCAAGATTCTGTTTCAAAATCCAAAGAAGAAAGAAAAAAAAACCAAAACTAGAAGCCAATGTAAAAATTAAAAACTGTATGCATTATTATTCTTATTCTGCAAGTATACACTAAGGACTTAGGATATAGCTGAGAGGTAAAATGTTTGCCTAACATGTGCAAGACCTTGGTTGCCCAAGTTGGCCTTGAACAATTATAAAGAGAATAAAGATATGCTTTGAATATAGTAAAACAGGACAATCTGTCACTGTAACCTTAAAGGCTAACAAAATTTACTTTGAAAAACCCGGAGCTACCCAAGTACTTCCTCAGATGGAGCGGTAATACGGTGAAAACTGTGTGATTTGTGCCCACGTAGTTTGATGAAGAAGCTCGGGTACTGAAATATTTGATTTGTGAACATCTTGCAACAAAGGAAATAGCAGGTGATGAAGTGCGGCCTTTAGCCTGAATGGGCAAATCCAGTTACTTTTCCTTCCCACCACGTAGCCTCCTTAGTGCCCAACCTTCACAGCAATGTTAATAAGATGTGAGGAATTCAGCAACTATTCTTTACTTGAACATACCCCAGTACTACCTTCTCGGGACTGATCACACACAGCTCAGTGTTTCTACCCATTTGTTTATACCTGTAATTTACACTGTCTTCTATTAGGGCAGATCTCTTTTGTAGCTTTCTATCAGTTTAACTCCCCCATTTGCCTATATGCTTCCTAAGAGTGAGGGCAACTCCTTATTTAATTAAAATAAATTTACCAGCATTTACTGGGTGATGACAGTGCCGGGCAATGTGAGGGGAAAATCTCTGTAGCATTTACTCTCAAAATTATTACTGTCACTTTATCTTCTGGATTAAAAATGATGAGATGGCTTCTTTAACTTGTTTCTCTTCCAAAAGTAAAATGCTTAAAATTTTGTCTATAGTGCTGAACAAGGCAGCTCATGCCCACAGAGGAGCGTGTCCTAACAGCTATTAATAGAATTCCAATAAAAGGACCAATCTCCTGCTGTAAACTGCCGCATCAGCCAAAGAGTGCTTTTGCGTTTTGTTTTGCTTTTCATCTTCCGTTTTACAATCTGAAAGCACGCACTCCCTACCTTAACGAAACTCATGCGGATAGTGCACATCTTAGTTAGCTCATAGACGACCTCGAAGCCGTGGTGAACCGACTGGGCGAGCAGCTGAGCGAAGAGCTGGTTGTTGAAGACCTTGAGGCTGCAGCCGCTGGGGATCTTGCAGACCGTGGCCGGGTGGAAGCCGTGCTGATAGTTGCAGTTCCGGCTCTGCACAAAGATGCTGCTGTCACTCACGCACTCGGCGTACACCTCTCCCCCCACGTAGTACAAGTGCACACCTGGGGGTGGGAAAAAAATGACTAGCCTCCTGCAAACATCACTCCCTTCTCAAGACAGGACCTGGCTGTCAGAGTCATATTTACATCACCAGTGACAGCTGAGGAAGACGTGCAGCCCAAATGCTCGCTTGTTTTCATTACTGACTTTGTTTTTTCCACAAGTCCGTTTACAGTTATGTCCCACGTACACAATCATTCTCACAGACCTCTCAGTCGGCTTTAATGTGGCTCCCACCATCCTCTCAGTCTCACGCTCATTTATTCCAAAATAAGTTCTCAGATTATTAGAAGCAAAATAAATATCATGCAAAAAAAAAAAAGCAAACAGAACTTCATGTACGTATACAAACAAAATTTAAGGTTGCTCTACTATTATATATCTATTTCTTCTGATAATACTTAAAAAATATATTGAATTTGAAAGGTGTGTTACACATCATCATAGAGTAAATCACACGTACATGTTTGCGACTGCCATTTCCACATTTTCATACCCAATCATATAAACACTCACAAGCAAAATGCAGCTTTTCCCACTTCACCTAACTTTCTTGCAGCTGAAAGAGCATCCTGAGGATGTTGCTCCTCATGCTGATTTTTACTTCCAGTTGAATTTTAGCTGACTCTTTCTCTGTGTCTGAACTGGAGGTAGATAAAGGGAAGAACTTCCAGGCTAGCGGATATTATACTAGAATGACCTTTTCCCAACTTTTCATGGGGGAAAATTGTCTAGTTCTAAGTGTAAACACAATTATAAACATAAAACCAGCATGCCATTAGAAAGTCTTTAGAGAAATGATCGGGACCATATTTGTCCATATATTTTAGGACAAAATGTAATATATCAACTTTCAAAGAACAGAGCTCATAACCTCCAGGGCACCTCAATACCCATTTGTGTAACTGTGAACTTAAAAAATATTACAGATCCCACTGCCCAGAGTTTATCCAGTTGGAAGGAGCCCCTAAGGCAACTCTGCATTCTGCATGACAACCTCCCACCATACGCACCTACCCTTCTCCCTGCTTCTTTCCCTGAATACAGTTTTGCACGTCTCAAAAGTGAAAAAGAGCCTGAGCAGAAAGGTAGTGCAAAAGAATGCATTTCAGTATTATGTCTTCTAACCACATCGCTCTGCAGAAACCCAGTCACACAGAAGCAGAGCCCTGGATTTTGGGGTCACCTGTCACCAGCCCTCTTCTCAGCCTTCCTTTCCCTCCTCACCTCCCTTACCCATCTCCTTGAAAAGCCTTAGTATGGAGACCCACAACCCAGGCAGAGGGATCCAGGAAGCGAAGGATGTCCTGGTTATAACAGAAAATGCCCCCCACCACCGCCAGCCAATATACTTTGGTTTGTGAGTCCCCGAGGTAAAAGTTCCTGTCCCAGTTCCATTGCTGGTTGCGCCTGTCTCTTAGAAACGGCTGATCACTGAGATGCACAGGTGGTCACTATGATGCATGCTGTATAAACCAATCCCCAATTGACAATCCACTTTGCCTCTGTACCTCCTGCTTGCTTATCCCACATAAGCCTTAGACCACCAGAGATCAGAGCCTGATATTGTAGGAATGATCCTGATCGGTACCTGTCAACATAAATAAATCCGCCTCCAAATCCTGGGTGTTGTTTTGGTGTTTCTGCTTGCCATTGCGTGGTTGGCTGGACCACTGCAGGGCACAGAAGTGTGGCTTCACTTTGCCACCTTTTCCCCTGCAGCCCTGGCAATGAGGTGAGGCTGCTTCTCAGATGTGGTGTTTAGTAAAAGAAGAAAACCCCAGGGTAGGGCTGCAAAGGGTTTGGTAGGTATTTAAACCAAATGGCCTTCAAATATATAACCTTCTTGGAACTTACTACATAAAATAGAGAAGATTTTTGTTGGCCCTGGTCAGACATATTTAGGAATAGTTTTCAAGCCTGTTACTCTTTTTTTTTGTACAGTAATCAAACTCAGGACTTTGTGCTTCCAGGCAGGTGCTGTGCCGCTGATCTCTATCCCCAGCTCCCCACAATCCTGTTACTTTTATATGCAACCACAGTTCAAGTCAGTAGAGTGACAAAAGCAGAGGCAAGTAGACAAATGGTTTTCTTTGCACCCATCTGCTAGGCCACATCGTGGCTTTGAGCCATCTGTATCAGATGCAAGACTGCCACAGCACAGAGCCATCCTCAAACTTTAGCTTGCATCACAAGGGACTGTTCAAACAGGTCTCTGACTCAGTAGGGCCACAGAGATGAGACATTCGCACTTCTAGCAAGTTCCCTGGTGAAGCTGATGCTGACCTAGTTGGGCTGAACTTCAAGTGTTTTCAGATAGGAATTTCACAGAATTCATTCTCCCGCTTGGTTCCTGAATACCAGCAGGCAGTCTCACGTGTTTTTATACCTCTGTCAGAATCTCGTCTCACAGATAATCATCCTCTGTGAACTATTTTATAAGGCATTCCTTGAAAGCAGTAGAGGATCCAGCTACCCAGGAGGTTAAAGCAGGAGGACTGCAAGTTTGAGGCCAGCCTGGGGAGCTTAGACAGACCCTGTCTCAAAAAAAAAGGAACTGGGATGTGGCACAGTGGTAGAGCACCCGTGGGTTCAATCCCCACTGTGGGGTAGGGGGAGCGACACATGCAGATTTTATCGCAGTATACGTTATGCCAGTTCCTGAAATGCTGACGGTGACATCATCATGCCTGCTCTTGCTGCAAAATATGCCACTAAAATGTTAGCTCTTGTATATTTGAGAACCTTTAGATAAGGAAATTCCCCTAAAGAAAGTACTGCCTTAGGTTCCAAAGACAACCCAGACAATGAGATTCTCAGGCAGGTTCTGCCTTCCCTTTAGACTATTTATATTTCCACTTGGGCTGTGCGTTTCTTTGTCTGAGCTTTCCATTGCATGTAACTACCACCGTCCCGCTTCACCAGACTGGAGAGTCTTGGTCCTGAGTATGGTTAGTTAGGGCTGAGGCACGCTGGGTTTGATTTGGGTCTGTGAGACCAGACAGACAGTGAGTCTTCTAATCCTCTTCAGTAGTCTTGAATAGCAGAGAAACAAGGAGGAAAGACTGCAGTGCTGGGGAGACTGGTAAGAATATCCCAATGCCTGGGACCTACCATGGCCAAAGAAGAAGTCAGAGTCCCACAGTGCAGAAAATGCTCTGACGGGGAGGGAGGGAAATGCCACCGTGAACAGCAGAGCCCAGGGCAGCCACCACCCACCCACCCAGAGAACTCAACAAAATCTCAGCTACCAGCACAACTCAACACTCTTCCTGGACGCTGTCTGTGAGCTTCCCCTTTGCCTTTGTGTCTCCTCATCCGCAAAGCTATTGGAAAACCTGACTTACTTTCTAGATTATCTGGAGCTTTAAAAAAGTACATGTTTCTCGGTGTGATAATAGTATTTTTTAAAACCCCTTATAAAGTAGATACACACTCAAATAAACAAGCAAAAGGATATAAAATCTGAGATTTGTTTTAAGATGGTATACCAGAAATACTGTGGAAGACATGCAAAAGAATGGCACCAAAGGTCAGTCATTACGGAAGCTGGATGTGGTAATATGAAGACTTACACACTACTCTCTACTTTCGTGTAGATCTGGAATCTTCTACAATAATATATGATTAAAAATGATATAAAAATATAAAGTTTCCAGCTGTGTGTGGTGGCACACACCTGTAATCCCAGCACACTGGAAGGCTGAGCCAAGAGGATTACAGTTCAAGGCCAACCTGGGCAACTTGACTCAGACCCTGTTTTAAAATATTTTTCAAAAAAATTTTTCAAAGGTCTGAGGATGTTTCTCAGTAACCCAAGTTTAACCTCCAGCACTGAAAACAATAAAGTAAGATAAAAATAAGTCATATTTTCAAACCCACACAGAGCTTAGGTCAGCAGACAGAGCTGGGTCTTCCACAGCACGGTGCTCACAGCTGCGTGCGGCAGAAATCCAGCATTTGCCGCACTGTCTTCCAAGCTTTGCGTAATTATTACCATACTTTTCCAGCAGATGGCAGTGGATTCTCTTGAGGAAGGAGCACCTCTCCTTAACTCACACCGAGTCACTTCTGGCTACGGGAAGGCTGTTTGCCAAACCTGAGTCGGAAGACTCCAAGCAGGTCTGGGCCCTACTGCAGAGCGCTGAACATCTTTTCTCTGCCAATCACACGCTCGGCCCCTGGGATGGGCTGTGCTACTCTATGATGCTTCTCTTATGACTGACGCAGCATTCCCAGCTCACCCCGCATCTCATCCAAACCTCACATGGGAACACAAAACCATGGAGAGTATAAGTCAGCCACAAACCCACAGCCCAGAGAGAATCACGGCATCCATCATGTACCTTTAAAGCTTTGTTTTTAAATGCATGTTTTAAAATTAACACTGGGGGGGCTGGGGATTTAGCTCAGCGGCAAAAGCGCCTGCCTGGCAAGCGCAAGGTCGTGAGTTCGGTTCCCGGTACCAGAGAAAAACCAAAAAACAAAAAAAATAAAATTAACACTGGGATCCTATTCTATAGGGTGTTTTAAAACTTTTTCTCTCCATTCTCCAGTTAATATTTTCAATATCTGTTCACCGGTATTAAATATTCTGCAAAGTTTAATGGTTGTAAGAGTATGACATCCTGTGTCCTTTTTTTTTTTTTTTTTTTTTTTTTTTTTTTTAAATTTGCTTTTTCTAACAACAAGAAGCCTTACAGGTGTCAGAACCAAAACAGAAGAGGTATTGTGAGCCGGGGATGTAGCTCAGTGGCATAGCGCCTGCCTGGTAAGCGCAAGGTCATGAGTTCGATTTCCGGTACCACCAAAAAAAAAATAAAAAACAAAAAACAAAGAAGGGGTATTGTGAGATAGGGAAACTAAGTCCTTGGGAAAGTGGGCGACCCAATCCGCACCTGGAAGGCAGATCCTCTTCCCAAAGGTCTCACAAACCAACCCCTTACCTCGGGATAATGCCTTCCATAAAACAGGAGAATAGCTGGAATTCAGCAGAGCTTGA